TTTTTTTTGTCTCTCTCTCTCTCTCGCTCCCTCTCTCCCTCTCTCTCTCTCTCTCTCTCTCTCTCTCTCCTTGGCTAGCTCTCTCGCGGCATGCACGACGAAAATTACATGTCAGGCCAGGCATCTTGATGATCCAGAGAAAGACAGGATTCTGGCTCGGAACGTCCTCGATCCGCGGGGGTTATCGCCCTCTGCGTTGCATCTCGGCACAAGCACGTCCTCGTCGTCATCTTCAACACCGAGGATCTGCAAGCACGACGATCGGAAGGAAGGGGAGACTTCGGCGCACATATGCAGCAAAGCATCCCCAGCCTTGTAGCCTGTGTACATGAGGAAGAAGCCCAAGAAGAAGTGGGTGGCCCAGAATGCATGCATCTCAGCTTGACAAGATGCACAGTCTCGGAAGCGAAAGCTCAGGGTCAGCGGGCAATTAAGCCTTCATGTTTCAGGATCTGGGATCCGGGCCATGACCTCACCCACCACGAAGAAGATCATCCGAAACACAATCGCACCTCCGTGGCCGGGGGGGTGCGGTGTTGCTTTGGGTGGCTGCTCCCGCACTCGGCTCCGGGCCACAGATCCCCCAGAAGAGAGGCTTGTGCCTGGGCTGCCGAGCGGCCCGGAAGTCTCCTCTCCTCTCCCGCTTTTCTCTCTTTGGGCTCAGCACTTGTGGCTGTTGGGAGTGTGGAAGATGAGGAAGATGCTCCTGCTCTCAGAGATGCTTCGGGTCGCAACATCTCCCTTCCCTTGCGGCCCTCTTCTCGGCCTGAAGACAAACAAGTTGTCCACGGACAGCATCCACTCCTCTGCTCAGCATCGCTCTTGGCATGATTTGCCCTTCTCAAGCAGCAACGCTGCTCTGAGGCTTCCGCAAGCATGTAGCCCGTGCCTGGAATACATGACTTCGCGTGGTTCGACGCGCGCGCCCCCATGATTGTTCCCCAGAGAGCCCAATGCCCCTTAAACAAGGAATATACCTTAAATTATAGGGGCCTTAATGTTATGATTTAAGGTATATTCCTTAATTAAGGGGCATTGGGCTCTCTGGGTCATGATTCTTCGTGTGTCTTAGGGGCCCTGCCCCAGTCGAAGGCTGCTTCTGCTCCGCGCGACCAGAAGATGTAGCCGTTAAAGCCGCCGGCACAAACCAGCCTAAGCCACAGAGTAGCCGAGAGTAGCCCATATGAACCCCCGTCCCAGAGGCCCCCCCACCAGAAGATGGAGTAGGCCAGCGCCTTGGAAAAGCCTCGAGTTCAAATCCAACTGTGGCCGTCTCTTCTGCGACACCCTCTCTGTTGCGCCCAAGCCGCTCATGTTGCCGCCTTGGGCGACAAGAAAAAAGCAGCAAGAAGGACTCCGCAACTGCGACGAAACACGGGGGAAGAGTGCGGGCTAAAGGCATCCAAAGAGAAATCGAAGTTTCTACTGCGGCCCCGAAGTCCCGAAGCCCACGCTCTGCCCCGGCTTCTGCCCTAGCAGTAGAGGCAGACGTTTCTCGTGGCTTTCCCGTGCCGACTGCGGATGAGAACTGAGAACTATTGCAATCACCACTGTCATCGTCACCACCTTCACCACCTGCCGACTTCAAGACGAAGCTTGTCGGCGAGACCCCCACGTTGACAATCCTCGTGCTAACCTTGAGAATCGTCTGTCTTCCCACAAAAAAGCACTGAAGGACGCATCACCACACCTCCAAGGAAGCATAGCAAGATGAAACTCACCCCTGAAGTGTGTACTGAGGAGGCGGCCGTACTTCCCAAAGAGCACCAGGTTGTCAAAGACCACGAGGACCTAACGCAGCACATGGGGCCAGGGTTTAGGGTTTAGGGTTTGGGCCTTGTCACCCTCTCAATCACCCTCTGCGAGAGGGAGCATGGATAAGCTGTTCATGTGCCTTTGCTGCAAATTGACATACTCTTCACCGCGTCCCTGCGACCAAGTGCATTGGCATTGCCTGTGGAAAAAAAAACGGAAAGCGGGCGTAGATGCCCTTTTCTTAGCTCGGCATTCTGCTTTCCTGGTGTTCTCTTCCAGCACGCAACTAAGTCGCAGAGGATGCCTGACGGCTGCAGCATTCAGTGACACGTCGGCTCAGGGCAGGGCCAGGGGCCGGAAGTCTCTGCTTTGGGCCCGGACCAGGAAGGTAATTGAAAAGACCACCCAGTCGACGAGGTCCTCCACATAAATCTTGCAGCTCCACGCTTTGGGGGTGGCTTCCAGCTTCTAGGTTCTTGAGCTTCCGGGGCTTTAGGGTTGGAGGTTCGGGGCCCGCGCTGCGTCCAATTTTGAATACATGCTTGCTCTCTTCCTCCCTCGAGCGAACTCCAAGAAGGCCAACGCCCATCTTCTACAGCAGCCATGGAGGATTCCGGAATGCGCGTGAGGCCTACGGCCTACAACCGACATTGAGGAACACTGCTTTTTGCCCGTGGTCTTCAAGACCCCAATTAAGGCCTATGTTATAGGGTTTTGCCGAAGGCCCTTGCTTCTCAAACCAGGGGCTCCTCGTGCCGGAAGAGGGTTACCGGCTGTTCTGGCTGTGGCCTCGAGCTTTCCGGGCTTTCGAGGGCTCTGAGCTTGAGGGTACAAGGGGCACAGGCTGCTCTTCAGCGCTGAGCTCAAGCTTCAGAGCTTGGGATGTCACGGCTTTGCGGATCCGCGGGATGAAGTCTGGCGGATCTGTCAGTTGAAAATTACCCATATTCCATCTCTCGGTGATGGCCTGTGCTCATACGAGCTCCTGATTTCAAATCTCACAACCTGGGGAAAAATCCTTCCTCTTTCGTCTGGGCTGCGGGCGGCATGAGCCCCTGCAATCGGATAGCCGCCTGAGGCACGGCGCGGGGCGTGCTGAATCTAGGGCCTCAGGGCCTCTGGGCTTCCAGTGGTTTCGGGGCGCGCTCGGGGGTTCACGCTTTAGGGGACCTTGGGGATAGGATTTCGCAACGTGCCAGCTGACTTATCCCGATCTCCCCGAGACACTCTGAGGCAGCCGGCATCCTCCGCGACGTGGAAGACGTTGCTCTGGCGGCTTTCGCAGACAGCAACGAGCTCATGAAAGAAAACCAGAGATGTAAGCACACTAAGACTGGGATTCTCGCTCCCACCCCTGCGATACAACGTTTTCCGCACACCTCCTGCTCAGCTCCCTCGCTCCTCTCTCAAAGTACTGCACAGCGTGTTCCTGAACTGGGACCTGATGCCTGAAGGCCTAGCAAGGTTGACAACGGGCTTAAAAACAGCAACAGCGGCAAATGTCTACGTCATCACGAGTCATTGCCTGCGTTGCGTTCTGGCGCTTGTAAAAGCTTTACGGGAGCATGTCCGAAGAGCTTCAGGGCGCCTGGTTCAGCAGCTGAAGCGCCTCCCTCCCTGGCATGGAGAGCGCCTCCACGGCCTTGGAAGAGTTGCGCCCGCGTCGGCTTCCCGAAGGCGAACCATGAAAGAGTGGCAAAAACCGCTACATCAGAAACAACTACGACAGCTAGAAGCTAGCAGGACTGCCAAGGCAAACGGTTACATGCACTAAGGGCGGACGAATCCCCACAGACATCTCAGCGCTGCGCACCCAGGAACTTCATTTTGCACCGCCTGGAAGCGGCCCAGATACAACATATCAGATGCCAGTCCCAATATCCGTGTGGTCATGATCGCGCACATGGTCCGTATCCTTATAGACATCGTCAGAAACCAGGGCCACCACCCTGACGATCACCATTACTATCGCCGTCACCATGCCCAGCATCGTCACCATCACCAACAACGAGAACACAAAGAGGAGTAGCTATACCATGCAATACCATCGACAATCGCAGCACCAGCACAAACGCTAAGCACCGACACGAATCCCCGGCTCACAAAGTCTACAGAGTCTACACGACCTCCGCTGTGTTCAGCGAGCAAGCGGGCGAGCGAGGTCGCCAAGCAGCGCCTTCCCAGCCACAGCTCTTGGGATTCTGGAGTTGAGAGGAGGGAACTTCCATGGCGTCACGCAATCACAGCGAGACGAAAGTAATCGCCTCATGGGGTGGCGCTCTCTGGCGCCACTGACAGGAGGCACCCACAATAGACAGGGCCAGAGATGGCAGCAGCACAAAGCAGTTGCGAGGATGCCACTGTGACACGGCGTGCATTCGGCTTGCGTTGCTGGCTCCCTGGCGCCCCTGACTTTCGCATTGCCCACAGTACATCGAGGCAAAAATGGGAAACCCACGGAGAGGACCTCTTTTACGCCTGCATGACAGCAGTGATCAGTTTCACTGCTTCACTTGCAACTCGAGCTTGCGTCGCTGGGAGCCTGTCGCGAAAATTACTCGGGGGCCGCTTTCCAAGGCAGCACATCCACCAAACGGATGGCCAACGTTCCTGGCGTCTTCTTGATGTGCTGCTTCGGCTGTGGAAAACAAAAGCGGTATGCACATTGCTGTTCAGCGAGAATGAGAACAATCGGCTTGTTGCCCAAGATGTGAAACCATAACTAGAATTGAACGATTAAAATACTTCAGATCGGAATCCGATCCGCAACAAAGGCCGGCCCTGTTCGCTCTGCCGGCACTTCGCTGCTCAACCAGTTGCCCTCTGCCTCCACATCGCGGTCCATTCACCGGTTTGCTTTAGTCAAGTCTCTCAAGACCGCAGGGCCGGAGGCTCCGATGGCAGCTCATGCACGCACATATACAAAAACTTGGTCATCGAGCTCATTCCGGAATATCCTCAGATCCTCATCCAAGTACCTGCGAAAACCACAGGGCAAAGGACTCGCAGAGCAAGGGCCTCTCTCGGAGATGCCACGACAAAGAAACTTCCAGCTTTTGAGCTGTTCCAGACGCGGGCGCACGTTACTCGTGCCCGCAGGCGGGCATTGTCGCCAAGGAAGGTCTCGCAATCATGAAGCCATCACAGAAAGCAAAAAGCTTTTCGGAAACGATCGATTGTACCGCAAGAACTATTGGTTTACGAGCAAACAGCCATTGCGGTTTCTGCAGCCGGTGGCTGCAGACGTGACTTCGCGTCCCCGTGTGCCTCGGAGGGGAAGACGACTTGGTCGGCGAGGGGTAGCGTGTTGTCCACAGCCTGACACGACCATACAAAAAGTGAGGAGTTAAGGAAAGGGCTCAGGGCCTATTGGGTGTTCCAGGGTTTTATGTCTATGAAGAGGCCCTCGGTGTTTCCGAGGGCCTCTGGGGGCCCGGTTTGCCTGTGTCGTCTCCACAGTCAGCAGGAGCTCAGAAGGATCCTCTGCGGGCATGTACCTGCCCAGTCTCAGTTGCTGGTTTTTTCCACGGCGAGAGGGCGAGGGCGCAGGAAGATGCTTCAGAATCAGGCTGGCGGGAAGCTATGAGTCTCTGAGCCCGCCTGCAAGTGGTCGTCATCACCGTCGTTCCCAGGCCCCAGATCTGCAGAGGCGATCATGTTTCGTTGAAGCCACTCTGGGACTCGATCTCCGAGCCTCCACGGCCACTCGGTTGACGATCTGCCCGTTGTAGAGAGTTTGGGTGGCCTCCCCGATGTTCTTCAGCGGGATGCCTTATCGACATCGCATACAAGTACGGCCTGGCCCTCATGCAAAATCTTGCACAGCAGAGTCTGACCTTCTACGCCTCATGCTGTGCGCAACTCAACGTTGGTCGCGGCGGTGGTGGTGGTGGTGGTGGTGGTTGAAGTTGTCGTCTGAGGGCTTGGAACTGGAGGGAGCGACAGCCCAGTCAAACAGAAGTTACACAGCGTCTTACATCCTGCACGCGCGCAATACAAGGAACCCAAGGGCAACAACAGTAGAACGTAACAGCCATTACCATCGTCGCAACCAACCGCAGTTTGACAACAAAAAGCAACAAAAAGGCAACACGTAGACCCGAAAGCAAAAGCATCGTCACCAGAAGCAGGACCAGCATGTCACCAAGTGACACGAGATGGACTATACTGCCCAATTGTTGCAATCATTCATGATCACCATCATTGCTACCACCGCTACTGTTCTCGTTGCAGTCTTCCGGGCATCGAGCCATCCGTGAAGGCGAAGATGGATTCAGAAAGCTCCTCGTTTCAGGCTCTGCTGGGCTCTTGAGCATTTTGTGCCGGGCCCTCTTTCCAGCTGTGAGGCTTGGAGGCTTTTTTGGGGGTCTTGACCGCCTAAGGTCGAGCGGCTTCGGCATTTCCTGAGGCCTGTCCGGTCTACGTGCTCTCCTTTGCGGAAACGAAGCGGTCCTCAGTGTTGAAGAGGGCCCGGCTCAAAGGCGAAGGATCCGGAATTCCCTGGGCAACTCAACTTCTGACACGATCCTGCTGATTTGGAGCAGCTCAACCGCAAAACGCTACACTTGGCGAAAGATGTACGAAACGTCTGTTGCGGTGCGGAGGAACTGTCAGATCACGGTGAGCAACTCCCTACACCCTAAAGGCCCTAAAGGCCCTAAACCCTATGTTACGCTAGGTTTCCCGGAGTGTGAGGGGCCCCTTTTTGCTCTGAGCGGCCTCGAGCATCCTCCGCCAGCCCCAAAAGAAGGGCGAAGACCTCGTGACGTCCTCCGAAGAGATGGGTTTAGGGTTTAAGATTCCCATGGGCGTTTCGGTGCCTGTCCAAGGGAGCATTGGGCTCTCTGCGTCAGCCAAACCATGCACTGTTATTGCACCTGTGCACGAAGAATGACACAAACAGTGATGGGAGCCGAAAGAAGAGCAAGGCATGCTCGGAAGATGGAGGACGACAGTTATTCCAAAGAAAGCAAGCAAGCCGAAAAGACACTTCCATGGACTAGGAAACCAACACAGAGCAGCATGAGCTCAGGTCCTCGGAAGCGAAGATCAGCCTCCATTTTCCTTCCAGGAGGCCTCGTCAGTCTGCCACCCTAAAGACCGCCAAAAAAAATGCCCAAAAGCCTAGTCGGAGCGAGCCCGCAGGTCCCTAAGCCAGGCAGCCCTAAAAAGGAAGCACCCACAAGAGGAAAAACGCCCCAAAATAAGCTGGGAGGCGACCTGCCCCCCCTCTTCGGCATCCTCGCTCCCTCGTCGTCATGGGCCCATCAGCATCGTCACGGTCGTCAACAGCATAGCATCTTAACCAAGACCGTGCCGACATCTCACCCGTCAACTTTCGACTCTTTCAGCTGGCCCCTCCCGCTGTGAGTGGCCATCTGTCCAAGCCTTTGGTGGGCTCCGGCGTGGGGTTCAGGGCCTCCATCGCTTTGACGAGTTGCAGCGCACCTCGAGTTCTCTTTCGAACAAGCTCTCATGCGGATAGTGATTCTGATTGACAACGCTTTCCGGGCCTTGTCGATCTGCCTCGCTTCCGCACTGGCCACGGCCTGGGAGACCGAAGGGCGCACAGAAGGCTCTGCACGCGCCTTCTCCCGTCTCCCCAGGTCCCCGCAGGTGGATGCCGCGGCAGCCAGCAGTCGCAGCCTGATCGCGGCACAGGCAGAGTCACGAAAGGCAGCCGGTAACTTCCCGGCTGCAGACTTGGGAGGGAAATACCGTTTTTTTGCCAACAGATTTGGGCAGAGGCCAATCTTTGGGCCTTCGGGGGCTAAAAAGCCACGGGGCTCAACTTAGAAACCAGGCACTTTCCCCTCAGACATGCTTTCTCACAAGAAGAGCCCTAAGAGCCCTAAGAGCCCTCCTTTTCAGGTGGAAGCTTCTGAAGCCTTCTTCTCCTCCCTAAACCCCTAAACCCTAAACTTAACCCCTAAACCCCTAAACCCCAAACCCTAAACCCTAACCCCTAACCACCCCCAAACCCTGAAGCTCTGGAGGACCTAGGGAAGCTCTGGGCGCAAGGCTTGCAGTCAGAGCCCTTGAGCC